CCCCCCCGCCGGAGGAGGGACCCGCCCCCCAGGCGGGGGCGGCCGCCGGCCCTGCCGCTCTCCCCCCGGCAGAAAGCCCCAGCCGCGGCCAACTTCCTCCTCCCCTCGCCCCCGGCCTCGCCCTGCAGGGCAGCCTCTCCCTCCGGCGGCCGGGGCCCGCTTCCCTGCCCGCAGGCGTGCCCCCGCCCGCTGTGGCTGAACACCTGGTCTGGGTGCGAGGGTGCCCGGGCGGGGGGCAGCGGCCTGGCAGGGGCCCCCATCCCTGGGGAGCTCCCCAGGTGCCCCTGACCCCTGAGCCCCTTGCAGGGGTAGCCAAGGGTGCATTAGTGGTGTGACAGCCCTTAATGGTGGGGGGGCCGTGGGTTTCAGAGAGGACACCACCCTCCTTCCAATTAAATACAGATTAAAAAGAAAAAAAAAAACAACACACCAGCACCCCCACCCCTAGCCACTCTGTCAAAATGAAGTGGGAGGGGAAAGGAAGGAGCCCCTGATCCAGAGTGCTCCTTCCAAGGGGGAGCGGGTCCACAGCACATGCATACAGCAGGCGTAATTGGGCTGCTTTTCCTGGACCAGAGCTGATAAAGTGGACGAAGAGCTCAGCCTCCATAGCAATATGCCAACGCTATGGCAACCTAAATCCAGCTCCCTCCTTATCAGCTGCAGTGATTATATAATTGGAGGAACAGTTTTGCATCTGTCTCTTGATGCAGATTGTCATTACTCCCAGGTGAAAGAGCAACTTCTAAAGCAAACAGAAAATCAGCCAGGTGGAAGAAAGTTCTGTTCCCTGATAGTGCTCGGGCTGCCATTTATTTACAATCTATTTTTATTTTGGGCAAACACCACCTGAAAGGTTAAATTGATCAGTAGTCAAGAAAACCTGGTGGCAAGGAGATGCGAGCAAACCAATCGTAATGTGGAATGGAATAATTAAAGCAACCACAGATTCCCAGTTGCAAGGTGGAGGTAAAAAAAGACGAGCAGAAGGCAAAGTTAGGTCTGTGATCCTGGTCTGCTCCTCACTTACAAGAGGGAAGATTGATTTGGATAAGTCCTTACTCTTGTATCCTTCTCAGTTGCTGGCAGCAAGGTGAATATTCCAGGTACTACCGATGCAAGACAAATTTTTCTGTCTGTTCTTGAAATGTGACTGACACGAGTAGGCCTCTGCCGGCAGCTGCTTTCCGCACACGTCTGTTCTCAGTCAGCCCCTTATCAGCCTACCTGAACAGCCTATGCTCGGGAGCCTGGGCAGCAGGGGAGCCAGCGTAATAGTGGCTTCTTAAAAATAAATAAATAAAGCATGCTGGAGGCCATTAGTTAGATTGTGAGGACTGTGGGGAAGAGGAATTGTATTTGAAAGTGCTTTGTTGACTTCTTAGCTGCTAATTTGGGTAGGTGTGTAATAGACTTGTTTCATGCTTCTGAACGTGACTTTGTACGCTGAAAATCTTTCCCCCTAAAGTAAGAATTTCCTCATTTTTTGGATGTTAAAATGTACGTCTGCTGTGCTTTCGTTGCAGTCTCCTATTGCACAAAGAAAGGGAAGCTGATAGTATTATTTGTTGATGCTGAGACGCTTCTCAATGTTTATTTTTGCTACACAATGGAATGTATTTTTATGACAATTAATTATTCATTATTACTATAGAGCATGTGTTTATCTAGAAAATTTTAAAAACCTGCCCGACAAGCACCAGAAAAAGCTTTCAAAACTAACTACATCACTTTTAATGCACGTGTGGGACTGGGTGGAATCCTAGATGGGCATCTTTAATGCGTTTCCTCATAATATTTTGAAAACTTGCTCTCGTAATATAAAATGGAAAATCAGTTTGCAAACCCACGTTTTACAGCGCTCTCAAGGGAGGGACCAGAATGAGTCAACCTGGCCTCTGGTGTCGCAAGTTTGAATCTCAAGCGTAGTTTAACCATCTAGTTAAATTTCGCTGCTTGCGATTCCGGCGTTCAGCA